TGACGACGGCAATATGCGACTTCTCCCGCTTGCATTGTAATCTTTAAGCACTCGCTTCCAAATTAATACCCACAATATTTATTTTAAAATCTTTTATATATCCCTCCATGGAATATTTAAGTCCCACTTGAATGGTGGTCCTTCTGTGTCCAAAATTGATCAAAAAGCTATAGGGACAAGGTTTTCACACTGACAGCTGTCATTAGCAACTCCGTTTGTTTGTCCGAGTTTGCAACAGTAACTAAGGGGGGCGGAGCTTACCGATTGGTCAATTGAAAGGTTCTACACTCTTAAAAACAAAGGTTCCAAATGTGATGTCATAGAAGAACCATTTTGAATTCCCCAAAGTGAACAGTTCTTAAAGAGATAGTTGACCCAAAAATGAAAATGTACTGTTAATTTAGTCACCCTCAGGTCATCCAAGAAGTAGGTGCCTTTTTTCTTCAGTAGAGCATTAAAGAAGATATTTAGCTGAACCCACCATGGTCCTTGTTGATTCATAAAATGCAAGTCAGCAGCTACGCGTTTTTTGAGAATAAAAAAAAACATATCAAGGAACTTAAAATTAAAACCCTTGGTTCCTAGCGATATATTGAGGTCTTATGAAGCAAAACGATTCGTTTGTGCACAAAAACAGAACATTATTTACAACATTATTACCTGTAATCTAGAGCCTTTCGGACAGTTCATATCTTGTTTAAATAACTGATTCACCAGTTAATTTACATAATGACTCGATGCAACATATACGCAACTATTAAAGAGCAGGTCATATGGGTTTTCGAAAAATATATCTTTTGCAGTTTGTAAGGTAGCTATCCTTTAATGTAAACAGTCTGTAAAGTTGTTAATCAAAAAAGTGCATGATAAATAAAGATATTGTCTCTCAAAAGAAAGACTCGACTCAGAATCGCCTTAAGGAGTCGTTATATTTTCGAATCTTCTGCCTGTTACCGATCTACGTCACTGGGTAACACATTAGCATAATCCCCGCCTGCCCACGAAATACGAACACTCTCTGTGTCGAGAAGATGCTGTGTTCCACGATACCACAGCAATACAATTCAAACCTTTTGTTGTGCTCGTCATTTTCCCGAGGACTGCTTCTCTAATCTTGCCTTTTATCTTCGTTGGCTTCTAATCTTCTTTATTTGGACCAACAAGCAGCTACGGACCACAACCTGTAAGTACGATCGATACGTTATGTGTACATTTTCAATTGAGAGCTCAAAATATCTAGTTCTTTTTTGTGCTAATATGTGATGTACACCTAGTGTAGCTTTAGCTTTCCAGGTAAAGCACAATATTACTGTTTTACTGAAATTGTTCTGATAATTCGCTGTGAACCCACTATTTCCTAAGAATGTGTCGATTAATGTAGACTGTCGTTGTTCTAATTACTTAGTTTAATAATAAAGAATGTAGTGTAGCGCACAGACTTTATAATCATTGTGAAAGTGCTGTTTATGTAGTTATAGGGTTAATGCAGAGAGTAAAAGACCCGGTAGAGAGAGACGAGTTATGGCGCTTTTCCACTGCATGGTACGGCTCGGTACGGTTCACTTTTGGGGGATTTTATGTGAATAATCCCGCCCACTCTAAAGCCGAGCCGTGCCGTACTGAGCCGTGCCGAGCCGAGTCGTACCACGCAGTGGAAAAGCGCCATTAGTTAGGCTGGTGCGCATGTGATACAGCTTTTCTGCGTTATAATTAAAGGTTAAGACACGGAGCGTCTTTTGTCTGTCATTCTTCAGACATTACAGTAGACATATTTTGGTTTTCAAACTGTATTGTTTCATCGGTTAGTCACGTTAGCACTCGGCTAACGTATCCACCATTATTGGTTTGTTAAGTGTTTAAAATTTAGCAGCTAAACTTTAGCTGTGGGCACGATTCGCTTGCATAAGTGTTAAACAAAATGTTTTTATGTCATTATTTTAAGAACTGATTGGAGCACTATATTATTGTTTTATGTAAAGGTGTATGCTAGGGTTGCCAGGTTGTCACAACAAAACCCGCACAATTGCTACTCAAAACTAGCCCAATTTCGAGGGTGGTCCCCCTTTAAAAATCGTGTTCTGGGGTGTAAAATACACGCTTTCAGTCAGGGTTCCCCTGGTAAATTCGCATTCCAGTGCCTAAATATGACGTTATTGGGGTCGCTACAACCCACAACATCAAAAACAACCGCGGACTTGGCAACACAGATGGTAGCGCTCGCTAACTTGCTCAAGCGCTCCTCTTTGTGCCAATCACAACAGGCTTGGCCAGCTGACCAATCAGAGCAGAGTAGGCTTATGGAAGGGAGGGGTTTACAGACATTTCGCTCAGAACTGAATCGAACGAACCGTTTTGAAATCATGGACAAATGACTATGTATAAATGTATATTCTGGGAAAATTACAGTGTTTTCTGACCTTAGATGCATTTAAACCTGTTGTAGGGGACTCCAAAACAATATTAGGACACTTTAAAAAAACCACATGATCTGCTCCTTAAAGCACCCAATAAGGATGTGAAAAGCTGTACTTTTCTGAACCATATCCGATTACATTCACACAGTGTTATTTGATCATCCTGTCAAAACTGGAGCTGCATACATGCCAAAATAACAGGACTTCAACATATGTTAGTATGTCTGAGCAGAAAGACCGATCTGGCCATACGGTCTCCTGCTGTAATGCTGCTAAGCCTGCAGCTGCTGTCACGGCTTCAACACTCTATTAGTGTCAGTGCAACTAAAGATATGCAAGGAATTTTATTGTGTATTCACAAGAACATTTTCCACTCAAGTCAGTTTCACCACAAGTTTCTCTGGAAGTTTGTTTCCGCTATGGAATAAAAAATAAGCAAGGTAAAACAATTTTTTTTTGTCCGAATTTCAAGATCTAAATTTGCAATTGTGAGAAAAAAGAAATAACTGCAAGATAAAGAGTCGCAATTAACTTTTTTTCTGTTTGAAACAAGAAAAAGGAATAGAGATGTAAAAAAGAAGAAAAGTTTGAATTGCGAGACGTAAACTTAGAATTCCGAGAAAAATATAAATATGTCAGATTTAAACTTGAAATTGCAAGAAAATTCTGAATGCTGATTTTTTTCTTATAATAAAATATCGCAATTACCATTTTTAATTTTTTATTAAATTCTGTGATGCTAAAGAGCTTCCATAGGGTTCTTATATGCAATACTCTTTTATTTTCCATGTAAAGTTGCTTCCAAAGCCAAAACCTTCTTAACTCAATCAAACGAATGTCAAATGTTTCAGACACCCTCTGCTGTTTATACAGGCCTATATACACACTACAAAAGGTGGGACACATTGGCACATTCGAATATCTGTTTTATACATTAAGAATAACAGTAGTCGTTGAAACTATGAAGTAACACAAATAGCAAAACACAAATGAAAACCTTACACATGAGCTTCTCTGTCTAGGTCCCAACTCTGCTCAATCTTGTCATTCATCAAACAACTTTACAAGGAACATCCTGGGATGCTTTTAAACACTGCTGAGGGAGTTTTTATTGAGGCTGTTTCTTTCCCCTTCGGTACTGACTTTTGCATGAAATTTTAGTTTTATACAGATATTCGTACATAGTCACAATTTATATTTCTAAACAAAACTAATTCCAAGCATTACACATACGCTAGATCAAAACGTTTGTGATGCAGAGCTGAATTTTCAGCATCTTTACTCCAGTCTTCAGTGTCACATGATCCTTCAGAAATCCTTCTAATATGCTGATCTACTGCTCAAGAAACATTTCTTTATCAATGCTAAAGACAACTGTGCTGCTTAGAAAGTTCAAAAGAACAGCATTTATTTAAAATACAAATCTTTTCTTACATTGTTTTATTGTCACTTTTGATCAATTCAATGCATCCTTGCTAAATAAAACTCTAACTCTTACTGACGCCAAACTTTTGAACATTTTAGTATATGTGACCCTGGAGCACCTGGAGCACAAAACCAGTCTTCAGTCGCTGGGGTATATTTGTAGCAATAGCCAACAATACATTGCACGGGTCAAAATTATCAATTTTTCTTTTATGCCAAAAATCATTAGGATATTAAGTAAAGATCATGCTCCTTGAAGATATTTTGTAAATTCCCTACTGTAAATATATCAAAACGTGATTTTTGATTAGCAATATGAATTGCTAAGAACTTCATTTAAACAACTTTAAAGGCGATTTTCTCAATATTTCGATTTTTTTTTTGCACCCTCAGATTCCAGATTTTCAAATAGTTGTATAGTTGTTGGTCCTATCCTAACAAACCATACATCAATGGAAAGCTTATTTATTCTGCTTTCAGATGATATATAAATCTCAATTTTAAAAAATGGACCCTTATGACTGGTTTTTCCACAGACAAGGCTTAAACCTAGTCCCAGACTAAAATGTAAAGTCTGAGCAACTGAAAAAAAATTATAATAATTGCACTGACTGATCTTAAAATATATCAGTGCCTTTGCTTTGTCTCAAGATGGACACCAGTAATGTTTTTTTTTTCTAAGGCAAGTTTATAAAAATTACTTAAATGTCCTAATTGAACAATGGCCTAATCCTGGCTTAGTCTAAGCCTTGTCTGTGAAACCAGGCGAACATACATTAAATGCTTAATTACCATAATTAGAGCAGTTTTACACACTGGTGTTAGCCTAGTACTAGCTTACACTCTTAAAAATAAAGGTTCCAAAAGGGGGTTTTCACAGCGATGCATAGAAGAACCCGTTTTGGTTCCCCAAGGAACCTTTCACTGAACAGTTCTTAAAAAAGAACCATTTTTTTAAGTGTGAAGAACATTTTAATAATCCAAAGAACTTTTTTCCACTGTAACAACCTTTTGTGGAATGAAAAGGTTCCATGGATGGTAAAGGTTCTTTATGGAACCTTTATTTTTAAGTGTAGGCTACTATAAAATGGCATAGAAGCGCGCATCGCAGCCAGTGTAAGGGGAGCTCTTGTGAGGGCGGAGCACAGGTGTGTGATGTACCTGAGCTCTTGTGAGGGTGGAGCACAGGTGTGTGATGTACCTGAGCTCTTGTGAGGGTGGAGCACAGGTGTGTGATGTACCTGATGGTGTGTCTCTCGCTCCGCGTTCTCGCCGTTCACCTCCACCACACGGTCACCCGCGCGCAGTCCCGACGCCTCCGCCGGGGACGCGCGCTCCACTTTCCGTATGTACTGTCCGGTTTTTCCTTTCTCTCCGTGCAGATGAAACCCGTAGCCGTTCTCTCCTTTCTTCATCACACACAACCGAGGCTTCAGCTCGCTTGCCATTGTATTCCGCTTTCGCCTTCACATCCAAACTTGCAATAAAATCCAAGCGTTATTCTGATTTGTCGAAAACTTAATGCAAAGGAGTACAAACAAGCATCGTTAGCCTATATGTTATTGCACAGTCCGCGGTGTTTTGCAAAAAAATGTGCATGCAAGTATCCGGCTCAGCGCATTACTTAGAATAGACAAAAACCAAAAGAATCGAGTCCGTATCGATGATATGCTTCTGCAAGAAAAATGCAGAAGTGGAGTCGGCGAAGCAGACTGTGTAACTACCTGTGGATGTTCACAGACGCATCCAAAACTCCTCCATGAGACATTCTGCCAGTGCCCACGGAGAGAGAAACTGTCCACTGACAAACTGCGTGGCGCGGAGTAAGACCGCCCATTAACCGCTTCAGCAGAGATGCGCAGAGAAAAGCAGGCTTCTGCGTGCCTCGTGAATATATGTGTGTCAACAACGACTTAAACGCTGAAAAGCGGACACTAACTTTCACTATGTATAAAAATAGTCTAAACACTACGCGAATAATACAGTTATTGAATATAAAGGGAATTTGGACATTTGAAGGAATTTCAAGTCTTCTGAATTACTAAATGTGAGGTAACAATTTTAAATGCGTCGAGGTTCGTCTTTCGCGACGCTTTAAGTTGGTATTTCGCGGTACGAGCTCAGTTATTTTACAGATATATATATATATATAGTGTCCGTATATAGCCTATATATATATATAACGTTCAAAGCAAGACAGGAAACCTTCAAGAAACCTTGTAATACATAAAAAAATATCGAAAACTACATAATGGTACGGGAATTTGGACATTTGAAGGAATTTCAAGTCTTCTGAATTACTAAATGTGAGGTAACAATTTTAAATGCGTCGAGGTTCGTCTTTCGCGACGCTTTAAGTTGGTATTTCGCGGTACGAGCTCAGTTATTTTACAGATATATATATATATATAGTGTCCGTATATAGCCTATATATACATATAACGTTCAAAGCAAGTCAGGAAACCTTCAAGAAACCTTGTAATACATAAAAAAATATCGAAAACTACATAATGGTATAGCATCGCGAAGGCGGCATTTTGTTATGGTTACAACTTCACGCGAACTAATTTATGTTCGTTGTTTATTTGGCGGTGATTACATTTACATTTAGTCATTTAGCAGACGCTTAAAGAGACTTACAAATGAGGACAATACAAGCAATCAAAATTAACAAAAGAGCAACAATATATAAATGCAAATGACAAGTCTAGGTTAGCCTAACACAGTACACGTAGCAAGGTGTGTGTGTGTATATATATATATTTTTTTTATCCACCCACAAATAGACACACACAAACACACAAACAAAAACAAGTAGATAGAATAGAAAAAATAGAAAGCTAGTGTTTGTTTGTTGTTGTTTTTTCAATAAAAATAAAAAAGAAGATAAATATAGATAAAGTAGAATTAAAATACAATAGAAAGTGTTAGAGTTAGAGGGTCAAATAAAGGCGATTAAATGTTAAATATTAAAGATGTTAAAAAAATGTTTTGTTGGTAACACTATTTTAAGATGTCCTTGTTACACATCCCTGCTGAGAAAAGAAAAAAAGACACCAACTCAAACGTTGTAATGGTTTTGGTTATAATGGGAATAGTAGGCTATTGGTTTTAATGGAAACTGTAATGGACCCTCTGGGTCTCTACTGGTAATTGGTCACCTTCTATTGGTGGCTTGTTTAAACCAATACATCCTAATGGAATATGTCCCAAAACACACATACAAAAAAAAAAAAAAAACATTTTTAATGGTTAAAATTTGATAATTTGTAATGATTGTAATGGTATTTGTAGTGGAAACCATTAGATTTTTTTGTGATTGTTTTATTATTTTTTTTCGGCAGGGATGTTAGGCTACATGTACTTACCATTATATTAACAATAAATTATGCATAATTACATGCAAGTAACCCTAAGGCAAACCCTAATCCTAACCCTAACCAAATAATAAGTACATGTAGTTAACTCAGTAGTACGTAAACGTATAATTACACTGTAAAATAAAGTGTAACCTTTTTTTAAATAAATACTTTAGAGGGGGTTAAAAGCTATAATTGGCATCCTGCAAAACAATAACAGTCCAGTAAATGCATCTGGACACCAAGCATCATAAGTTGAGTTCAGCACGTGAATGAACGGGGAAGAAAGATGCATGACCAGAAGAGAGAAAGTATTTGGCGCGTATAGCACAGTCTCATGCGCAACTTCGCATAAAATATCAATAAATAATGTGAATTTGAGAACACTTCAGGTCACAACCCACATATAGGGCAACCACGCACACTGAGGACAACAGCAGGCTGACCGTGCTGCACTCTAGCGGCGGAGAGAACTAGCGAGGAGCTAGGCACATGACCGACACTACTGCTGCATTTCATTACAATCACTATTAATAAGACTGGATATGTTACATAGAAATAGCTAAAGAAAAGCAGAATATTTACATTTTTAAATCTAATTATAAATATCTAGTGTGTCTGTAGTTTTTTTTTGAAGGGGGGGGGGGGGGGGAGGGGGGGGGTAAAGGTTGCCCCCCCTAAAAATATAATTAAAAACCATGCTGTGTATTGTAAATAACAATGTTTTATACTTTAAATAATTGTGTAGGTAGTAAAACAACACAAACAGGGCAAAAATGCGTTTTAAGTTTAGAAACACTTTGAGTCTCCCCCTCCCTTGCCTCAGTGCTTTGGTCCAAATGCCTGCTTTCCTCTTTTACATCACCTAAACACACACACAAGTCCGGTGAGAGAGAACAAAGCCAATAGTTGAGGGAGTCCAAGGCTGTCAAGGCTATTTTATTCACTTAAACATCGGATGAAGTGATTATTTTCTCTTTAATACTGATGATGCCAGCGTACTTTTTCGATGAGCCCGCTATGTTAGCAATAATAACGTTACCTGCTTGAGGGAAAGGGTTGCCAGGTTTTCACAACAAAACCCGCCCAATTGCTACTCAAAACTAGCCCAAACTAACTGCGTTCCGGGGGCTAAAATACACGTTATTGGGGTCGCTTCAACCTGTGGACATGAAAAACAACCCGAGACAAGTGATGAAGTAGCTCAATTCCACGCAAAAACCACGGACTTGGCAACACTGAAGTAAAGTCTACAACGGACACGAGCGCTGTCGCGGCGCGACCACATCAACTTTAAGTTGTCGAATTTACTAAATTTTTTAAGGTAAGTGGTTGCAATCGATTTATTTTATCTACATTTAAACAAACAAATTTAGTTGACTAACTTTCAACATGTTTTTATTTTTTAAACGTAACTAAAATAAATGGTTTGCAACCACTTACCTTTAAAAAATGTAGTATCATTTTTTCAGTGTAAAGCCATTCCTCTGTGTATACATATCCTTACAAGTACAATTTTAGCTGTATTATTTGTCCCCTTCAAAAATTGCTCTTGAGAAATTTTGTTAATTGTCCCCCCCCCTACTTTTAGACTAAATTTACGCCCCTGTGTGTTGTAATTTATTAGTTATTGATTAGTCATTGATAGTAATTACTAGCTATTGATTTGTTTAAATATCTATCTATCTGACTCTGTCATCTATCAGTCTGCCTGTCTGTCTGTCTATCTATCTGTCTGTCTATCTATCTATCTATCTATCTGTCTGTCTGTCTGCCCATCTATCTATCTGTCGGTCTCTCATCTATCTGTCTGTCGGTCTCTCATCTATCTATCTATCCATCTATCTATCTATTTATCTGTCGCTGTCTGTCTGTCTATCTATCTATCTGTCTGTCTATCTATCTATCTATCTATCTGTCGGTCTCTCATCTATCTGTCTGTCGGTCTGTCATCTATCTATCTATCCATCTATCTATCTATCTATCTATCTATTTATCTGTCGGTCCGTCCATCTATCTAGCTGTCCGTCCGTCCATCTATCTATCTGTCCGTCCGTCCGTCCATCTATCTATCTATC